AGGATAGATCACATGTTAGGTCAGAAAACAAGTCTTAACAAATTTAAGAAGACTGAAATCATACCAAATATATCTCCCAACCACAACATAATGAAACTAGAAATTAAATGGTAAGAGGAAAAGTGGGAAATACACAAATATGTGGAAATTAAACAACATGCTCTTGAACAACCATTTATTCAACCACTGACTCAAAAAAATCAAGAGAAATTAGAAAATATCTTGAGATAGACAACAACTAAAACACAACATACCATAATTTATGAGATGTACTTAGTATTCCAAAATACTAAGTATTTTGGAATAAAGGATCTCAAATAAACAACCTAACTTTATTCATTAAAAAACTAGAAAAAGAACAAAGTCAGCCCAAAACTAACAGGAACAAGAGAATAATTGAAATTCTAATAATCTTTAAGATAATTAAGATTAGAGCAGAAATAAATGAAATAAAAAAGGGTAAAACAAAAAAAATCAAGAAAATTAAGAGTTCATTTTTTTAAAAAATCAACAAAACTGAGATTAAGAATTCCTCATATCAGTGAGATCATATGATACATGTCTTTCTCTGATTGACTTATTTTGCTTGGCGTAATACCCTCTAGTTCCATCCACGTCGTTGCAAATGGAAAGATTTCATTTTTGTTTTTTTGTTTTGATGGCTGCATAAAAACAAACTGAGGGTTCTAAAGGGGGGAGCTGGGGGGATGGGTTAGTCTGGTGATGGGTATTAAAGAGGGCACGTATTGAATGGAGCACTGGGTGTTATACACAAACAATAAATCACGGAACACTACATCAAAAACTAATGATGGAATGTATGGTGATTAACATAATAAAATTTTTTAAAAATCAACAAAACTGAAATAACTTTAGCTAGATGAAGAAAAAAAAAGAAGATTCAAATAAACAAAACTAGGAATGAAAGAGGAGACATTACAACTAATACCACAGAAATACAAATGATCATAAGAGACTGTAATAATTATACATCAACAATTTTGATAACCTAGAAGAAATGGATAAATTTCTGAACCATAAGAAACAGAAAACCTAAACAGACCTATAACTCATAAGGATATTGAATCAGTAATCAAAAACCTCCCAACAAAGAAAGGCCCAGGACCAGGTGTCTTCACTGGTGAATTGAATTAATATCAGTCCTTCTCAAACTCTTACAAAAAACTGAAGAGGAGGGAGTACTTCCAAACTCTTTTTATAAGGCCAGCATTGCCCTGATAAAAAGGCCAGAAAAGGACACTACAGGAAAACTAAAGGTCCATATTCCTGATGAGTATAGATGCAAAACTCCTCCACAAGTTACTAACAAAATGAATTCAACAACATTATCAAAAGGAGCCCAAAAAATCATACATCATGATCCAGTGGAATTTATCCTTGAGATGCAAAGATGGTTTAACCTATGAAATTAATCAATGCAATACACCACATTAACAGAATAAAGGATAAAAGTCTCATGATCATCTCAATATTTGCAGAAAAAACATTTGACAAAGTTTAACATTCTTTCATAATAAAAACACTCACCAAATTAAAGAAGGAATTTACCTCAACATAATAAAGGTCATATAGGAAAAGCCCACAGTTAACATTTTAATCAATGGTGAAAAACCAAAAGCTCTTCCTTTAAGATCAGGAAAACGACAAGGATGCCCACTCTTGCCACTTCTGTTCAACATAATATTGTAAGTACTAGCCAGAGCATCAAAAGTAATAAAATACTAAGGAATAAACTTAGGAGGTGAAACACTTGAATGCTGAAAACTACAAAACACTGCTACAAGAAACTAAAGAAATCACCAACAAGTAGATACATCTCATGCTCATGGACTGGAAAACTCAATAATGCAAAAATTTCCCTATCACCCAAAGTAACCTATGGTTTCAATGCAATCCCTATCAAAATCCCAAAAGCCAGTCACAGAAGGACAAACACTGCATGATTCCACCTTTATGAAATAATGTAAAGTAGTCAAACTCATAACAACAGAAAGCAGAATGGTAGGTGTTAGAGGGGGAGGGAGAGGGAAATGGGGAGTAGCTGTTCAACAGGCAGAGTTTCTGTCATGCAACCTGAAGGAGTTCTAGATAATCTACAGTGCAACACTGTGCTTGTAGTTAACTATACTGTACTATACACTTAAAATGTTTAAGAGGTTAGATCTCATGTGTTTTTTACAATAAAAAAGTAGAATGAAAAAGAAAAAATCAAACTCTCAGACAGATAAAGAAATCATTGTCCATTACAAAAAGATCTTCCTGAAATAAGAAACGTACTACAGAATACACCTTTAAGGAAATGGTAGGTCTATGAAGTTGAAATAATCCATGTGGGACCAAAGAAGTAAATAATATTTTGTTCACTGTGGATCACAACAAGAGTATAAAAGTGAACAATATTAGGAAATGGTAATCCCATATGATAAGCACTTCAATGTAGAATTTAACCATTTGTCAAAAAAAGAAAAAGATGAAATTTGTCAAACAATGCACAAATTGCAAGATTTAAGGCTTCTGCAATACAACAATGCATTAATCATAATCTAATAGTTATTAAAAAGTCAAGTGCAAAAAAGCCTTTATATTCCCCTAACTACAATTTCAAAAACATTTTAAAAGATGGCTATTGTACAGCATGTTTGTGAACTGAATAGACACAGACATTACTTACATTCTTTCTTTGAGTGTGCATGAAGAAATATTTGGCAAGATTTCAAATTTAATTTTTTTTACAGACTGGACATTTTTGCTAAAAGAATTTTTTACCCCTTTTAAGCACAGCTACTCTTTCATGTGTAATTAGAATTTTTTAAATAGAATGCATTTACCAAAATATGTATCTACAGAAAGTGTCTGAAGCAAGTACTGCCCAGACATACTCAAATTTATATTTTAGGATATAAAAGAATGGTAAGTAAAATATCACCATGAAAAGTCTGTTTTAATAATGAAATATATCTAGCTTCAAAACCAAAGAATTCTAATTCTAATCTTTACAATGTATTTAAAAATCTATGTATATCAATTATTTTTCAATAAAATTGGGAAACAAATATAAATTCTTCTCTCAAGATGAGAAGAGTCAACACAGTCTTACTGTTGGAAACATAAAAAGAATAACTGTGATGATCATTTGTACTTGCTATATAGTACCTTTTTAAAAGTTTGATTAAAGAAAATGCTTAACTTCTATCCCTTCTTAAATAATCTAAAAATAAATTTAAATGTTTTTCTGTACTATAGCCCCCAAACAAATATGAAGAAAATAAAGAAATAAGTTTGTTTTCTAGACCACAATCACTTAAAAATGTTTTTTAAGATTTTATTTATTTATTTGAGACAGAGAGAGAGCGCACACAGAAACAGAGTGAGAGGAAGAAGCAGACGCCCCACTGAGCAGAAAGCCTGCAGGGCTCCATCCCAGGACCCTGAGATCATGACCTCAGGTGAGGTAGATGCTTAATCAACTGAGCCACTCTGGCATCCCAGAAATGTTTCTATCAAATGTGAACCAACTTGTTTTTGGAGCTTTTTTAGGTAAACTAGAAAAAAAAAAGCCTTTCCATTTTACATGAATATTATTTTTTAGGTATATTGTATGTTACATGCCTATAATATTACAAACAAATTACTCTCCCCCAAAATAATATGAATATAAGCATGTCTATATCCTTATATGATTAATATTTGCCAAAAATTGGAGCTTTTCCGTACCATGCACTTATCATAAACACAACGTTAGATTTAATGGAATGATATAAAAATAATTGACTAATAAGTACTATATTTTCAAATGTTCTCTCACTGATGGTAGAAATTTAAGTCTCTCTCAAGTGCAATTTTTAACATTTTCCCAGAGCTTTAACAATGAGAGTACTTTGACCTTTGTTTTTGAAAAAACTGAGAGATTCCCATTCAGACTCTGTACAAGAATATTCACGGTTATTTATAGCAGAAAAACTTAGAAATGAACTAAACACATTGACTGATAAATGGATAAAAAAAGATGTGGTATATATATACAATGGAATATTATTCAGTCATCAAAAAGAATGAACTCTTGCCATTTGCAATGACATGGACGGAGCTAGAGTGTATTATGCTAGGCGAAATAAGTCAGAAAAGAACAAATACTGTATGATTTCACTCATACATGGAATTTAAAAAATAAAACAGATGAATATAGGGGGGAAAAGAGAGGCAAACCATAAAATAGACTCTTAACTATAGAGATCAAATTGAGGGTTGATGGAGGGAAGATGGGTGGGGGGTGGACTACATGGGTGATGGATATTAAGGAGGGCACTTGTGATGAGCACTAGATGTTATGCTTAAGTGATGAATCACTAAATTCTACTCTATACTATATGTTAACTAACTAGAATTTAGATTTTTTTCAAAAAGAAATGAACTAAACACACACAAAAAAGGGAAATTATTAAATGAATTATCTTAGGATACTAAGATTGCTATCATGTTAATAGAGGATGAAAATTATACATAAAAATAATAGAATATACAACAATATGAAAATAGAGAATGAAATTATATATACAATGTTATCCTTATTTAGGCACATGAATAAGCTCTCAGACACACTGAAATAAAAAAAGAAAGACTGGAATGAAAAAGACAAAAAACTCACTAACAAGAGTAATAATGATCATATGTGGTTTACATATATTCTTATTTTTTATGTGTCTTTATTTTCTTCCATCTCCACAATAGACATGCTGTAATTGAAAAGCAAAAGCAACAAAAAAACAAAGTATGACGTTTTCCAACTGTAGATTTCTTAAGTAATTGTTTCTAAAAAACAAAATTTATCCAGAATAAATGAAACACAAAAATACACATTCACCTCAATTCTAACATGATAATTTGACACTAAATATAACTACATTGGTATAAAAAACAGGTTATACCAAAGTGTTAGAAAATGCAATTATTAATGGTTTCCAAATTCTATTAAGGCTTACTTTCACAAAGTTTCTGCTTCATCACCTCCCTTATTTTGGATATTGCAATATAGTCTTCCACATAGAACACGTAAGTAGATGAAGGCTTATTGGCAATTGCTCTAAGTTCTGCGTCTTCTGTTTCTGAACCAACGCCAATAGCAAATAATGTTATTTTACTGTCTCTTGCTGCTTCTGCTGCATCTTTAACTTCATCTTGGGATTTACCATCTGTAAGTACTACTGCTATCTTAGTCAGAAACCGTGAGGATTTGGCAAAAAGGTAATCAAGCGCAAACTGGATGGCCTTTCCAGTTCTTGTGTTTCCGCCCAGGTAATGTATGGATTCCACTGCTGCCATCAAATTCTCTCCTGAATCATGACTTCCAAGAGGAATCTCCAATACAGGGTAGTCACTATACTGGACCACACCAACCTGAATAAACTTCGGTCCTATGTCAAAGTTTTTTGTGATATTGACAAGCCACTTTTTCACTATTTCGAAGTTTTCTGGGCCAACACTGTAAGAGCCATCTAAGATGAAAACTAAATCTGTCGGAGCAGTACGACAACCTAAGTGAAAAAGAAAACCATCAGAGCACATTTGTTGTATAATACGCAAAACATGGGAGGTTTTTACTCACAATCTTTAAGTAAGCAGATGCGGGGGATCCTTTCACAACATACATGTGTATCAAATCACCATGAGGCACACTTTAAATATAATACAATCTTATATGTCCATTATACCTCAATAAAGCTAAAATTTTAAAAAGAAAAAGTAACCAGTTCATAAAGCTTTGTGAAGATTAAATAAGATATACTGCCTAGCTCATGAAAATTCTTTCTAAATGAGAGCTATTATTTTTGTTGACACTTTAAAATTCCATTGTCTTAATTTAAGGATTAATGATTCGGCTTTAAAAGTAGGAAATAAAAAATGCATGCTGTATTTGACCTGATATCTAGATAGCTCTTTGTAGGGGCAGGTATTACCATAAAGCAACATTTAATTCCCCACTGAATAAATGAAAATTCAAAAATAAAGAAATAAATTACTTTCAGCTATATGCTAATAGCATTCTTTTAAGTTATCCATGAAATGTTTAGTTTAATGCTAATCTGAAGTATTTACTAAAATAAACCAATGAATGGGAGAAAGAAATTTAAAAACAAAAAATCTTTCTGCCAACTTTAGGATTCAACTAGCCAATAAAGATCCATATTCTTTGATATAGTTGATAAAAGTTTAATGAACCAAGACCACCAATGTAGTCTACTTTTGCACTACATGCAAGAGCAGTGTTTAAAGATCTGATCTCTCATCTTCAGCCAGTAAGACACTCATGCTAAGTGAATCTGTGTTAATGGGTATAAAGCTATTCCTTTCTCCATAGAGATAAAGATTCTTGTTTCAAGATACCAGGAAACACATGTGATCAGCACACCTGAGAGTTCTACTGGAGAACAAAAAACTATCTTTGGTATAAGTTATACCTACACAAGTTCTAAGCACTTGTCAAAAGAAAAAAAATCTTAACTCTCTTTTCTGCAGTACACAGCATGCCTCCAACCCTGTTTTATTCTGTCAGTATATGTATATTGAATAGCTACTCTGTGCTTGATATCATGTTGGGTACCAGCTTCAAAGATGCCTAAGATATCTCAAACAGATACCACAGTCTATTTAGACAGACAACTGGCTGGTTAGGGAAAGTACAAAATATTGAGAACATTTAGGAAGGGTAGCAAACTAACTGTTCAAAGTCAGAGTAGATCCTGTGGGAAAGCTGACAGGGAACCTGAGATCTAAAAGGAGAGCTTTAGCCAGGTGAAGAGGAGGGCCTTTTAATCAGAGGGAATAGTAAGTACAAAGGTCCAGAGGTAAGAATTGAACACAGCCCAACAGACAAAGTGGTTTGTTTAATTCTGACAGTTTGAAATGGCCAACAGAGTACATTGAAAGGAATGGCTACACTTCCTCTTTCTCTCAATTCTGCACTTAAAGCAGCAAAAATACCATTTATGGCCCATCAGATAAAGATCATATGTCCCTCGAGAAGGTAAGTTGGAGAAGGGTGAGATGAGTCAAGGTAATATAATAACAAATTTTAAGTTTTGTGTTTCTACTCATATTAATGGTCTCCCTTAGTAGTGATCAGATGCCCAATATAATGATTTATTTTCTGCAGACATTACAAATAAGATATCATAATTGCAAAGGACAGTCCTGGAGGATAAAACAACGTTCAGTGACAATTAGTATTTGTATTCCTGCATTTCCTTAGAAGTAAAATCAATCAATCAATCTCTCTTTCTCTTTCTCTCTCCTTTCCTTTCCATTCTTTTCCTAATATTTGTCTATTTCCATACCTGGAATGATGACAAGGCTCACACAAAGATGCCTCAATTTTAAAGTTAACTCACCCATCACAGTAACCAGCAAAAATAAACACTATTGTCAGGTGAACATATAATCCAGAAGTTACCAAAAATTTTTTTAACTGCCAAAACAGGAATTTATCTCAAAAATGTAACCATGATTATGATATCACTCTTAAGGTGGCAGTGAAGTCCAAAAAAGCATGAGGAACACTATTCCAACCTCCTTTCGCATGGTGAACACTGCCAGAGTTCAGGCCAGGGACAGCAGAAATGGAATTCTTCCCCAAAGACAAATTTTCTAACCCTAGGGAATGCAGGTCTTCTGGTTTTATTGGACACTGGACTGGGATTAGAGACATATGCTTTTGTTGGGCTTTTGTGGGAGAAACAAAAGGACAGGCAAGTTATGTTTGCAGAGTTCTTCAGGGTTGTCCTTCCTCACTATTATGAGACTCATTGTCTAGACCTACTAGTGCTTGTGTGCCACTTGATTCAGTGTTTATAAACTCTTACAGGGTTATTCTTGGTCCTTCATATCCCTTTCTAGAGCCATGGACCATATATTTCATAACTGCAAGGTTAGCCAAGAGCATGGGTACAAAAGCAAGTACTGCCATTTATAAAAACTAGACAAAATACCACTCCAAAAGACCTCTTCTTGGAGAGATGAATCACCAATGTCATAGAAAAAAAAAAAAAGAACTGAAGATCAAAGGCATAGTTCAAATACTAGTTATAGCTCTAACCAGCTGTATGATATTAGGTAAGTCCCTTAAGTTTTGTGAATCTCTTTCCCTACTCAAAAAACAGAGAAAAGAATATCTACCTTGTACAGTACTTGAGTGGATTAAACTATAAAAATGTTATACAAACATTAAATTTATTATTAATAAATTTTAAGCTAAATCAAGCTGTCAAACCATATGATTTAAGTGCTGGAGAAACCATAATTAATATGAGGAATTCTTAATTGCAGGAAACAAACTGAGGGTTGCTGGAGTGGGGGGTGGGGTGGGAGGGATGGGGTGACTGAGTGATAGACACTGGGGAGGGTATGTGCTCTGGTAAGCGCTGTGAATTGTGCAAGACTGTTGAATCTCAGATCTGTACCTCTGAAACAAATAATGCAATATATGTTAAGAAAAAAAAAAGAAGAAGAAGGTAGCGGGAGGGGAAGAATGAAGCGGGGGAAATCGGAGGGGTAGACGAACCACGAGAGACGATGGACTCTGAAAAACAAACAGGGTTCTAGAGGGGAGGGGGGTGGGAGGATGGGTTAGCCTGGTGGTGGGTATTGAGGAGGGCACATTCTGCATGGAGCACTGGGTGTTATGCACAAACAATGAATCATGGAACACTACATCTAAAACTAATGATGTAATGTATGGGGATTAACATAAGAATAAAAAAATAAATAAAATCAAGAACTAAAAAAAAAAATTTACAGTATGGTGTTTATGCATTTTAAAATATGATCATAAGCCAACTTTTTTAAAAGAAATGATATCTGTAAATAATGGCCTGGGTAGCAGAAGTGCAATATAGCTCTCCTTCTCTAATGCAAGCTCTCCTATACACAATCAAAATAATAGTCACCATCTACTGAGATGTCATTGTGCTAAGCCATTAATATGCGTTATCCTGTTTACATGGATTATCTCATTATCTCTATGCGATAACCTCATAGGATGGTCCTAATAACCCAATGAGGTAGGTACTTAATCTCCATAACACTAAACTCTAAATGGCTGAGCATAAACTCAATAGCAGACCATTTATTCCAAAGCCTGGTGGTTAAAAGAGAAGAAACAATTACCAGGGAATTTTCTCAAAATTAACTCTGATAGAAGGTTTTCCTCTCAGTTAATATGTAACATAGCAATTCATTTCATTTTAGGGAATTAGAGCATCAAAGACAGAAAGAATAAGGTCCTTAAAAGAACTGCTTGAGCTCCCCTAATTTAATTTCCACAATCAATTTGTTGGTAACAAAAACATTGATAGTTCTTACTTGATCTTATTTCCCCATCTTCAGCTAATACAGAATTCTGAAGAAGCAGGACCAAAACTATCCAAAGAAATGAAATATGGTGAGCCATGCTTCTGTTTTCGTTCTAATATTTTGGTTTTAGGATTCCTAAAAAGAAAAAAGAGAAAAAAGGAAAGTTAAAAACATTAGAAAAATAAAGACAAATACCTAACCATTATAAGTTTAAATTTTTTCATTGTAATACTCAGTTGGAGTTTTTACTGGCCTTAGAATAATTTATATGTCTAAAATAGCCGTATTTTAATAAAATAAAGGACAAGAACCATATGATCCTCTCAAATGATGCAGAAAAAACATTTGACAAAATACAGCATCCTTTCTTGATTAAAACTCTTCACAGTGTAGGGATAAAGGGAACATACCTCAATATCGTAAAAGCTATATATGAGAAGCCCACAGCGAATATCATTCTCAATGGGGAAACACTGAGAGCTTTTCCCCTAAGGTCAGGAACATGACAGGGATGTCCACCCTCACCACTGCTGTTCAACATAGTACTAAAGTCCTAGCCTCAGCAATCAGACAACAAAAAGAAATAAAAGGCATCCAAACTGGCAAAGAAGAAGTCAAACTTGCGCTCTTCACAGATGACATGATACTTTACGTAGAAAACCCAAGAGTCTCTACCCAAAAATTGCTAGATCTCATTCAGCAACGTGGCAGGATATAAAATCAATGCAAAGAAATCAGTGGCATTTCTATATATTAACAATGAGACAGAAGAAAGAGAAATTAAGGAATCGATCCCATTTTCAGTTGCACCAAAAAAACCATAAGATACCTAGGAATAAACCTAACCAAAGAGGTCAAGGATCTGTACTCTAGAACACTCATGAAAGAAACTGAGGAAGACACAAAGAAATGGAAAAACATTCCATGCCATGGATCAGAAGAATAAATATTGTTAAAATATCTATCCTACACATTCAATGCAATCCCTATCAAAATACAATTGATATTTTTCACAAAACTGGGACAAATAACCCTAAGATTTGTATGGAACCAGAAAAGACACCAAGTAGCCAAAGGAATGTTGAAAAAGAAAACCAAAGCTGGTGACATCACAATTCTGGGCTTCAAGCTGTGTAACAAAGCTGTAATCATCAAGACAGTATGGTACTGGCACAAAAAGACACACAGATCAATGGAACAGAATAGGGAACCCAGAAGTGGACCCTCAACTCTATGGTCAACTAACCTTTGACAAAGCAGGAAAGAATATCCAATGGAAAAAAGACAATCTCTTCAACAAATGGTGTTGGGACAATTGGACAGCCACATGCAGAAGAATGAAACTAGAGCAATTTCTTACAGCATACACAAAAATAAACTCAAAATGAATGGAAGGCCCAAATGTGAGACAGGAATCCATTAAAATCCTAGAGGAGAACACAGGCACAATCTCCTTAACTTCAGCCACAGCAACTTCTTGCTGGACACTGTCTCCAAAGGCAAGTGAAACAAAAGCAAAAATGAACTATTGGGATTTCATCAAGATAAAAAGCTTTTGCACAGCAAAGGAAACAGTCAACAAAACTAAAAGGCAACCTATGGAATGGGAGAAGATATGACATATCCAATAAAGGGCTAGTATCTAAGATCTATATAGAACTTATCAAACTCAACACCCAAAAAACAAATAACCCAGTCAAAAAATGGGCAGAAGACATGAAGAGACATTTCTCTGAAGAAGACATACAAATGACCAACAGACACATGAACAAATGCTCCACATCACTTGGCATCAGGGAAATATAAATCAAAACCACAATGAGATACCACCTCACACCAGTCAGAATGGCTACCATTAACAAGACAAGAAACAACAAATGTTGGCAAGGATGTGGAGAAAGGGGAACCCTCTTACACTGTTGGTGGGAATGCAAGCTGGTACAGCCACTCTGGAAAACAATAAGGAGGTTCCTCAAGACGTTAAAATAGAGCACCCTATGACTCAGCAATTGCACTACTAGGTACCTACCCCAAAGATACAAATGTAGTGATTCAAAGGGGAAACTGTACCTTAATGTTATAGCAGCAATGTCCATAACAGTCCAACTATGAAAAGAGCCCAGATGTCCATCAACAGAGGAATGGATAAAGATGTGATGTGATGTGTATATATATAGACGCACACACGCACACACAATGGAATATTACTCAGCCAACAGAAAGGATGAAATCTTACCATTTGCATCGACATGGATGGAACTGGAAGGTATTATGCTAAGCAAAATAAGTCAATCAGAGAAAGACAATTATCATATGGCTTCACTCGTGTGGAATTTAAGAAACAAAACAGACGATCATAGGGGAAGGGAGGGAAAGATAAAATAAGACAAAATCAGAGAGGGAGAGAAACCATAAGAAACTCTTAACTATAGGAAATAAACTGAGGGTTGCTGGTGGGTGGGGGATGGGGTAACTGGGTGATGGGCATTAAAGTGGGCACATGATGTAATGAGCACTGGGTGTTATATGCAACTGAGGAATTACTGAACTTTACATCTGAAACTAATGATATACCATATGTTAATTGAATTTAAGTAAGTGAAAAAATAAAAATAAAATAGCCATATTTCAAATACATTAATGCAAGAGGACAATGACTAGGAGCTGAAGAAAACCATGTCTTTTAATTCATAATTATCTTGGAAAAGTATAAACTTTTCTAAAACTTTAGGCTTTGCTCAAAATACTTACTAGAATTCCTCCTCGGGCATGGCCTGTAGAGCTTTACCACATTCTTTTCATTATCTTAATGGTAGCAAACATTTTTCTCTAAAAAATGGGTTTGCATTTAAGAAACACTTAAAGGGTATTTGGTTAAAATATTTATGTAATAAAGCTAAGTGATAACATTTAATCTTTTAATGGGGTGTAATTATAAGCACTAAGATCTATTTTATTTGATTCATAAACTCAGTTATATGATTTTAATATGTCTTCTAAGTTAGTCCAAGGACTTTACCTCTGGTTAGAATGTGGAAAGTTGCTAGAGACTATCACTCCCACTAATAAGAACATGCCAGATAAACTATAAAACTGTAGTCTTTTAAATGCAATAGAAAAGACAGGATTTAAAGAAACCTAAATGAGCAAAGTTCCAAAAATTATTAATCCTTTATAAGATAGAAGAGATTCTGGGCTGATTTCATCCCTAGCAGAAAGGGAATACTCCTCAGGAGAAGCAGGAATCTGCACAGCACGGGAGAAACCAACCAAAGCTTGTGTGACAGACTAGAGTCCTGCAGGGTCCCAGCCACAGAATGAGTATGCCCCCACCCAGTAATTCTTCCCCATGAGCCTTAACAGAGTACATGGAACAGACAAGTAATACAGAGAAAATTGAGAGCACTATAAAACAGCAAGAGAGATCTTGTACCTTCCTCCCCCTGTTCAGGTAACCCACAGAATTGCTCAAGTACAAATCTTTGGCTTGCTGAAGCCTGGGGGAGAAGCAAAAGAACTGAGAAAAGTCCCTCCAAGGCACTCTAGTCCTTCACCACAGTGGAGAGAGATATCTCAAAAAGCAGAAAGCCAAACGAAGGACAAGAGAGAAAAATAAAATTTGGAAATACAAAAAGGTGGAAACCATACTGACAAGCTGAAAGAAATCTCCCAGGGGTCTGCCAAGATACGAGAAAAAGCAAGAAAAATCTGATGTCTGATCAGGATTAAAATGTTCAGTATAAGCAGATCCAGAGAGATCTAAATATCAGAAATATCAAACAGGGCCTGTAAAATGTTATCATAAATATGTTAAAGGATCTAATGAATAAGATGGACAACAATGGGCAAAAATATGAGAAATTTCAGGAGAGATGGAAACCTTAAAAAAAGATACAAGCTGAAATGCTTGCCATAAAATATATATCAAAAAAATAATTCATACAAGGGGCTTACCTCCATACATCAGAGGAAAGGATTAGTAAACTTAAAGATGTCAATAGAAATTACCCAAAATGAAACCCAAAAGGGGGTTGGGAGAGAATGATAAAAGGAACAGAGCATCTGAAATCTATAGAACAGTATCAACTGGTCTTGATTTAGCATACAAGCCATTAGCTTTTCAGATGGAATGGAGAAAGTGAATATTTGAAATACCTGAAAATACAATAGCCAAAGATTTTCTAAATTGACAAAAGCTACCAACAATCAGATCAAAGAAGTTCAACAAACCCCAAGCAAGATAAAAAGTGAGTCATACCTAGGTACATCATACTCAATCAGTATCAAAATAAAAGAGAAAATTCTTAAAACCAGCCAGAGAAAAAATATTGCATACAGAAGGACAAGAGTTCAAATTTTAGATGGAAATTTCATGGTAATATAAAGGGTAGATCAGAAAGATAAAAATTCTAAATGTGTAGACATCTAATAATAAAGCTTCAGAATACATGGAGCAAAAAATGGGAACTAAAAAAAATTCAAATCAAAATGTTACATTTTAACACCCTCAGTCAGAGGAGCATCCAACTCTTAATCTTGGGGTTGTGAGTTCAAGTTCCCCGTGGGGTGTAGAGATGACTTAAAGAAAAACTTTAAAAAGCATTTTTCAAAGAATGTATGGACCATAAAACAAATTAAAGTAAAATAAAAGAAAAAAATAACTGATGAAATAGAAAACTGAAAAAAAGTAAATTCTTTGAACAAATGAACATTCTTAGAAATCCTAGCAAGAATAACCAAGAAATAAAACAGAAAACATAAATTACATGGGTCAATATTGAAATAAGGGATGCCACTACAGACCCTACAGACATTAAAAAAATAAGTAGACAGATGAAATAAACAAAATTCCAGAACACACTACCTATAGAGACTGGTCTCAATTGAAATTCTCTATTAGAGAAATCAAATGTTTAAACAAAAATTTTCCCATAAAAAAAAACAAAAACAAAAAACCCCCTCCAGATCCAGATAGTTTCACCAGTAATTTCTATCAAACATTTAAGGAAAAAAAATACTAACCAAAATATTTCATGACATGAAATTAAAAAACAGAGGTGAAATGAACTCTCCCCAACTTTTTGTATCAGGCCAATGTAACCCTAATAGAAAACTAGACAAAGATATTACAAGTT